GCTCCTCGCTCCGCTTCTCGCTTCCTTTTTCCTGATCGCGGCTCAAATACAATGGAAGGAAATCACGCTTAAAGGCACCGCGGCGCCCTCCTTAAAGGCGCAGGGCCCGTCCTCGCCCCCGCGCAGCGCTGCCGGGGGCCCGCGGGGCTCAAGGAGCCCAAGTGCCTCCGTGCATCTTTATCGGCTTCCTCCCGCCCCCCCCGCAGCGGGGGTCCGCTCCCGGCGCCGCTCCTGGGGATGCGGATGCCCCCACGCGCGCGTCCTGCGCGCGCCGCGCATAAAGAGCCGGGCGAGAGGCGAGGGCTTCTCCCACCTACCCGCACAGCGGCCTCCCGCGCTGCTCGCCCCCTTCCTCGCGCGGTAGCCAACATTTATGGGTGTCTACGCCGAGGCACGGGTGTCCCCGCCTCGCTCGTGTAAGTCCTATGGCAAATCTGCGTCTTGGTGCCGTTTGATGGTAATGAGCTGTAAAAGCTCCGGAGTACCAAGTATTGATCTGTAATTAATCACAGAGCAGCTAAAGATGGGAACGTCTCGGCTGAGCATCCCTATGCCCCTTTCTAGCCTTCCTCCCCCCTCCTCTCCACGAGCACGGTACATCCCGGAAAGGGCCGATTTACGGTGCTGTAGCGAAAACTGTTACAGCAATTTGAGCATTTTTTTTCTTCCATTCTCTGTGACATTAGATACTGGCCGTGGCTGGAGGCAGAATATTGGCTGAGACCGACTGCCTGCCCTCTTAATTCCTTTAGATACAGGGGGAAAGATCTGTAACAAAGCACTAGTGAACAGCAGTAGAAATCTTTAGCTTCTACATTCCTTCCCAGATCAGAAATACATTTGATGTCTATTTTTATGTCTAGATTTTTTTTTTCAGCTAGGGATATAATAATTGAAATACTTTAATGAGTCTGATTCAAAGATTGGTAATGTCAGTAGAAGGACTAATTTCAAGGGTCTTTGAACCAAGCTCTCACAATTTTTAGAGGCACCAGTGGACACTAGAACACTTATTTCTTAGTCTTTTAAAAATGGTATTCTTCAGAAAGGATTCTTATTCTTTAAAAATAAGATAAATAAAAATATAATGTATAACCAAAGGAGATTCTTATGCTTTAAAAAAAATTCTCAACTGTAATTTAAGCTATTATGGTATGACGGTCATTCTTATATCTTCTTGGTTAGGTTTTGCAGGAATTATTAGATTAATATTTCATTTCATGTATATTTGCATTGGGATCAGAAAAGTAAAAGGTAAGCCTTTCAGGCAAAAAGAATAATTAAACTATTATAGGGCAGGGAACTACTTACTACAGGAAACTTTTTAAAGAAGGTTTAAAAAAACAGAAATTGAATTTAATGCGGGATTAAAAATATGTGTAAGAACTTTAAACACTTAAGAAAGACACTTCTGTGAGGCTGGCGTCTCCTGGCTCTGTGTCTTGAGATTTAATAAGGCATAAACACAAAGTTTCCCTGGCTGTTGGGGTATAATTGCTAATGGTGCATTCGTAGTACCAGGTAATGTCTGTTTTCAGATAACACAGTTGTGCACACAGTACACAGGCTGGCTAAATGCTTTCTACTTATTTTCCCCAAATTTGCAGGAAAATAATATCTTTAAGACTTCTGTCACTGTCTACCTAAAGGAGACCAACAGGTTCAAAATTCTGGTAAGGGATAGGCACGTAGGCATTGACACATAAGAAACTATTTACTACCGTAGAAAAACAACCTAAACCCAAGGATTTCAAATATCAAGTGGACAGTGATTATTGGAAAATGTAATTTTTTAAACTTTGCAACACCTACATGCCTGCATTTGATCACGCTATCTCAGGTCTGACAGATGCCCTCGCTGAAGCTAATGAGGAATTCCATCTTCTCCAAGTTGAGTTGGTGCTTACATGCTTTGGACAGGGTGAGATGCTTGCTGCCTTGCAAGATCCAGCTCTAAACCACAGAAAGGTTTAAGTAAAGGTGCAAGAAAAGAATCTGAGGAGGACAATTTTTACATGTTTTAATGTCATCCCTTCAGCCAGGTGCAAAGCTTGACTGAGGGTTTCGGATCCAGGAATCTCCCCTAAGAAAAACAAGTTCCTTGAGTGGCTGCCCCTTGTGATTCCAATAGATGCCACCTCTCCGCTGCTCTGAAAGGATGTGTAGAGATGACCACAATGTAGTGATAGCTACAAAGTTATTCGTTGTTTTCTTTCTTTCCCATAAAGGAGAGATGCTAGGTAAAGTAATATGAAGAGAACTAGGAAAAGTGAAAAAAAAAAAAAACAGGCAATTTGCAGTTACAAAACATAATAGACTATCTTTTGGGAACAGTTATAATAATAATCCTCAGTGCTAGTATTTGTGGTGCCTACATTTCCTGCATAGGGATAAAAAGACCAGTACTATTTTTAGTGAGGGATTTTTTTCCATTGTCCCTTTCGCTGTGAGGCTACGTTTTCCAGTG